GTTGCATTACTTTTATTGTTGTTAGCCGCTCTGAGCCCAGCTTCGGCTGGGGAGGGCGGGATATAAATAAATGATGATGATGATGATGATGATGAAAATAAACTGCCTTGCTTGAGTCCTGCTGTTCTCTTCATTACTTTCACGATCGGTCTCGGGGAAAACCTCACCGGCTTCCTGAAAGGCAAACACCACGTTGAGTGGGATGGCCTCCGTCCAGCAGCCTCAGCCAGACCCTCCACTGGCTGCTGCCTGGCAACTTCACCCTGGACGTCCTGGTCAACTTCCACTGGTTTCTGCCCATGAATATCCACTGGTTCCATTCACCCTGTGCCCAGAGGATGGCATCTGCCACCACCTGAGCACGTATTTCCCAGCCACAACACTACTTACCTGGACCACGTCCGAACGCTCCCATTCACACACGCAGACACACTCCATTCGAAACCTCCCATTTGCACTCGCAGACACACGCCATCTGCCATCCCTTGAAGAATGTCTGTGGACGCATTCACTCACCAGCCGCTCTGCATTCTCTCTCTCTCACACACCCACACACACACAGCTTCAAGTCATGAATATCCACACGGCTTCTGCCAACTGACTTCCAAAGGTGACCTTCAGCCAGCTGACATCTGCAGCACCTTACGGCACCCGCTGGCTTCTGACTGCAAACTCCACCAACCACCAACACCTGCCGGCTTCTGCCAGGTGTGTTACCGGACACCAGCCAGCTTCTGACTGTGGAAATTAGCTGCCTTCAAGCTGCGATCCCACCCAGCAAGCGAACTTGCCTTCTCCCTGTTCCTCAGCATCCCATTGCGTGATGAGTGCCTCCTTCCTCCTGCCATTTTGCATCCATGAGGAAGGAGACCCCCCAGAGCTGAGTGCCACGGCTGCTGCCCACCGAGGTCTGGGCTGGGAAGAGGGAGAGGCCACCTTTATAGCCAGGCAACTGACAGGTGCCTTTGTGACATCATAGACAGCCCCCAGCCAATGGGAGCAGCTGTGGACGCATTACCATAACCTCTTTGGGCATCACAACTGGGGCTGCCCCTCAGCAGTGACTTATTTCTTTGCCTGTTGCTTATTAAAAACACTGATAGCCCCCCCCCCCAATGCTCAGGTGGGGGAGATGTTTGGCCCAGCTGCTCAGGATTGACTCACACCCACCCCACTGGGAACGTCCTCCTGGGACAAATCCTGCCACTCACACCTCATCCTGGCTGGCGCCATGGGGCGCAGGGCAGAGAGGGGCCCCAAAGAGTGTGAGGAGCTCCCACCCAGCACTGCCCACCAGTGGGGGCAGGAAAGAGGGAGGTGGATTTGGGAGGCATGGAATCAAAAGTGCCCAGCGGAAGCCGTGACCCACAGGAGTGGGTATTTATGCCCTAGTGTGGACACAGCAGCCATGTCACATTGCCTGCTGGGCACCTTTGGACAGAGTTAACAGAGAGCTTGTCCACTGCAGATTTGAAGCGGCTGATGTCTCGTTGTGCAGCATCCAGGCAACATCCTCCTCATCCAAGTGGCAGCCCAGAGCTCCCCACACATCAGATTTGTTAAATGTATTCTAGGGTCTCATATATATCAGTCATATGTTCATAAATTTACAAGGCAAACACATATGTAAGTATATAAACCACGTGTCCGAAATAGTACAGGAGAGCAATCCCAAAGCCATATTGACTCTCCTAAATTGATCCCAAATATTTCTCTGCAAACAAGGAAGGAAATGGGGAAGCCTCTCCATTGTCTTCTGCTTACCTGTCTTAAGGGCATCTTTGTGTATGAACAGGGTAAGCCTGTGACCTGGTTTCAGGAATTGAAGTATTTGCTATCACAAAAGAATGGCCAGGCTGCCCAGGTAAAGCAATCAGTGACCATTGTCAGGTATCCTGGCAGACAGGGTTTCTGCTGTAGACCGCCTCCTTCTGTGATGTATGTATGATGATTTTGGGGGGTGGTCTTGGGCTGCAGGGTGGGCAATCTCAAAAGTCCATATAAGAGCTTGTGCACCATTGTTCTGGGTTCTCCCTCCTGCGTGTGGTGAGTGAGGACCCTGTTGCAAGAGTTTAATAAAGATCAGGCTTACTAGCTGCTTTGCTTCTCAATATTCTCTGGTTGGCCTCTGTTATTTTCTCCTACCGATAGGGAACCCACTTAAGGACTCTTTACGGGCTCTTGGGTACCCCATAAGGGAAAAGGAGCAGTACTTTTCTTATAACACCAGTTTTACCCGAGTGTCACATTCATGACTCCACATGCAGGCACTGGGAAAGAGCTGCCCTGGCTTCATGCAATGGGTGTTGGGAGGTGAATTTCTACTCCCTTGAGCCATGAAGTGTGGCAGTTAATGACCCCTGGAAAAGTGAGGCCTTTCTCTTGCAGTGGAATCAATGTCCCCAGGGTCAGACCAGTGTGATGAGAATTTTAAAGTCTTAGATAAATAATAAATGTTCATAAATGTGCCAACCAAGCACGTCCATAGATCAGCACAGGAAGACCGATCTGAAACCATTTTTGATTCCCAAATGGACCAAATGTTTTCTCTGCGAGGTCAAAGGAAAATGGAAAAGCCTCCCCATTGTCTTTTTCTTCACAAATCCTGCCTTAAGGGTATGTCTGTGTATGAACAGGGTGAGCCTGTGACCTGGCTCAGGAACTAAGTATTTATCATTACAAAAGACTAGCCAGGCTCCCCAGGGTATCCAACCAAGTGAACATTAAACAGGTAACCTGTCAGATGAGATAAACAACGCACTCAGATTTCTGCAGTAGACCGCCTTTTCTGTGATGTAGGTATGATGTATCTGGGGTGGTGGTCTTGAGTTACACCCCTTCTGTGATGTATGCATGATGTATGGAGGGGTGGTCTGGAGCTCCAGGGCAGGAAATTTAAAATTTCTATATAAGGGCAGGCACACCTTTGTTCTGGGTGCCTCCTCCTTTCCTGCGTGTGAGGGGAGCACCCTGTTGCAACAGATCAATAAAGATCAGGCTTACTAGCTGCTTTGCTTCTCGATATTCTCTGGTTGGCCTCTGTTATTTTCTCCCACCAATAGGGAACCCATGTAAGGACTCTATACGGGCTCTTGGACACCCCATAAGGGAAAAGGGGCAGATTTAGGGGCAGAGCCTGTCCTGGAGACTGGCCTGCCTGCCTCCTTTGTTTTATGTCCTTTGTAAGCCAGGAGAAGGTGTGAGGAGCGTTGCTGGACTTGGCCAAAAGCGTGTATCTCACTCCGTGTCCCTTTTCCAGTAATGAGCAGCCAGGGGCCTCCAGGAAGCCTCTCAGGAGAGCTTGAAGGCAACGGAATCCCCCAACAACCACCCTTAAGAATCTGATAGACTGAACAGATTTGAAATTCACAGCATGTTGTACACTGAAAGACAATTATATGAAAATGATGTACCGGTGGTATCTGACTCCTACTAAGCTATTCAAAATGTATAGAACAAGCTCTAATATTTGCTGGAAGTGTAAAGAAAAAGAGGCTATCTTTTATCATATGTGGTGGTCATGTAAGGAAACAAAGTCTTTTTGGGAATGAATTGGAAAAATGTTAAAAATAACATTTGTTAAAAAACCAGAAGCTTTTCTACTAGGAATTGCAGGTTCCGACATCCCAAAAAGACCAGAAAAGACTGTTTATGGATGCGGCAACAGCTGCAAGGATGCTACTAGCCCAAAGATGGAAAGAACCAACAGAACCGACCAAGGAAGAATGGCAAGCCAAACTGTTGGACTATGCTGAAATGGCAAAACCGAATGGGAGACTCAGGAATCAAGAAGATAATGACTTTTAAAAAGAATGGGGGAAATTCATAACTTACTGAGGAGACCATTGTAAACAAATAAAAGCGTTAGCTGGACTTTAAAAATAACTTGTAGAGAAACGAAAGACATGGATAATTTAGAGAGATGAAAGCTGTGGAGAATGTAATGATATGTGTGGGATGTTAAACACAAGAGCAGTCAAGTACAACATTCCTAGAGTGAACATGTTTACACATGGGGAGGAATGTTTGTCCAGCCAACAGGTCAACTTCCTGTTTCCTTCTGGGCCTGGGACAGACTTCCTCTGCATGTGACTAGAGGTGGGTGTGGCCTCACCTGTGCAGGTAACGACAAAAGCACAGGGCAGGGTAGCCATCTCTCTCTCTCTCTCTCTCTCTCTCTCTCTCTCTCTCTGACTACATGCATCGAAGAAGCAACATCTGCTTAGCCAAAGATGCTCTCTTGGCTCCAGCCAAGAGAGGAAAAAGGGACTGTCTCCTTATGAGATAGTTTCCCAGGTGTATGTTACTTTTCCAAGCTAAGTCTGCCTTCTGGGATCCGATTGTGAACAGAATGTGAGTAAACTCTTTTTATACTTTTATAGAAGACTGTGTCGTGTCTTATCTTTTATGAGGGAATAAGGGGGAAATACCAGAACAGCTATTACAGAGACTTTAGCGAGCCTTTAGCAAACGCATCCGCTGCAAGTTTAAAAAGGGGAATGTTACTCTGCTAAATTGTGGAACTTGTTGTAAAGGCTATAATCAGACAATATATCCTCTCCCGCATCCCTGAACATTCCCACAATATGTAGTCTGAGAAAAATTATTTTAAGGACCCATGCAGGGGATAGGGGGAAGCAGAGAGATTCAGAGAATCTCATATATGGATATGGTAAAAGTTTTTTCTCTTCATTATTTTAAATTTGTTCTTGCAAAAACCAATAAAAATATTTCACAAAAAAGAAAAGAATCTGATAGACTGTTTCTGAGTCTGGAGATCCCATAGCCATCATGATCAAGAGCCATACAATGAACAAGGATGAATGAAACTGATTAATGCTGCAGTCGCTTCTCTCTGGCACAGGCAAAATCCTAGACTCTCTGGGTTTTCAGGGCCCAATAAGTCAACTGAAGAGACGAAGGAAGCCCACTCAATGAAAATTTATTGGAGAGACAACATCAGTTTCATCAATTTGCCCTCCCCTCAAAGGTGTGGACCTCTAGCACTGGTCTTCTGCCTTGGTGCCATAGACCTCCACCTCACACAAGGTCAAGTACTCTTCAAGGTCAGGGATCTGGACACTCACGTAGCGGCCCTTGAGCCAATCACAGTTGAAGACACTGATGGATCTAGTGGTGTCTGTGATGGTCCCACAGCTGCAGGGAGAGAAAGAAAGTCATCTGTAGGGTGGGATCCATGTGGAATCTCCATCCTAGGCTGTGGAGCAATGCGCTCCTAAACTTACAGTGTTTCTAATGATACCACAACAATGCGCTCTCCCTCTAACGCTGGCCTCCTGGGCGGATCTCATATCATTCGCAAATGTTGCTGCTACCTGCCATTGTAGTCTAGACTAAATATTCCAAAATAACTACCACCTGCTTGTTCCGTCTCTGTTCCCAGCCCCAAACGGGGACCAGAGTCACTGTTCTGCCCAGAAGAGCATGGTTTAAAAAGGAGGCAGAACCCTCGATTTCTCCTACTCCCTAATTTTGACTACAAATTGGAACTCTTAAGACGTCATCAGTCCACATATCTGCCATGGACTGGCTGGATGCAGAGAAGCAGTGGGAGATATCAGCTGGAGAACCCCCAAGGGAACCCCCAGGGGAAGAAGGTCAGGGGACTGGTGGTGGGACAATGATACATGGGAACAGGGAGAAGAGGGAGCAGACTGGGAGCAGGAGGAGGTGGTCCTGGAAACTGAAGAGGCAACAGGATTTTGTGAGCAGGAAGAGGCTGTGGCAGAGAGAAGTCCAGACTCAGAGGCAGGAGAGGAGGGGCCTAGGAGACAGAGATGAGGCCGGCTGTGGGAGAATCCAGGTGTCTCCCCCTCCTCCTGCAACCAGCTCCCCACCCCCTTGGTCTCCCAGAACACACAGAGAAATGAAAAGAGCAGAGGAGAGATTGGTTGTGCACAGACGCAGCCTCCGATTGCTTGGGGAAAACCCTGGAGTGGAGGGGACTGTGGGAAATCAGGGACCTTCAGTCCTCGCAATTGCCTCCTTAGGGCAAGACCTACTGGGCAGAGTTCCTGAGATCACCAGGCCTGCGCTTTCTTGGTTCTTTGAATAAAAGTGGAATGCTCAGGAACCAAGAGGACAAGAACTTTTTTAAAAAATTGGGGGAAATTTATAATTTATTGAAGAGAGCATTGTAAGCAAATGGGAACATTAGCAGGATTTTAATCTTACTTGTAAGGTAACAAAGATTATGGATAAATAGATGGACACAAAATGTGGATAATGGATTGATGTGCAGTTGCAAGTGTAGGCATTAGACCCATGGAGGGGGCAGGGGATGTCATGAGATTCAGATAAATCTCTTTATATGGATTTGTAAATGATTTTGCTGTAAAATTATATCTGTAAAATCAAATAAATATGAGAGAGAGAGAGAGAGAGAGAGAGAGAGAGAGAGAGTTAACTTCAATGACCATGGTGGTTTTTTTCACAAAATTGCTGACCTACTCCTGACACCAGTTCCTTACATCCATCAAATTATATTGGATGTATTCTGGGGTGTCTTTGTTGTCGGAATCTCCGTACGACCGAGCTAGTCCTCCGGTTGTGTCTTCAGAATCTCCTCCGACGGTGATTAACGACCTAAGCCTTTGATGAGGCTTCAGGCACATCCCCCCATTCCGCAGAGTACCCGGACAGCAGAAGGAGTCGAAATATGTGCTACATCACTACGTTTTATTTCCAGCTACACAGGACAGAAAAGAATATGCACCTGCTCTCTGTGAAAGGCAGAGAACCAACTGAAACAAAGAAACAGGAAACCAGTAACATCAACATCCGTCTCCCGTGAGACTTCCAAGAGTCTGGAATGTAAACAGAGTCTTGTGACTCCAAACACTGCACAGTGGCATAACAGAAACCTAACATTTGTTACAGGGATTGAGGGTGTGGGAAATGGAACTTACAGGGCGTTGGACTTGCTACGGTGAGCATTATTGTTGCCCACACGGATCTCAGCTCCCCGGAGTCTGTTGCCACAGCAGTCCTGGCGGTTTCTCACCACCACGGCCGAGATGGCATACTCATCGCCCAGGTCCACATACCACCAGGGGTCCCTTTCCTTCTGCGTGTGGGTGCAGGAGCCCGAGCTGAAGGCCCCGTTACAATTCCCGTCCACGGCTTTGATTCCTCCTGTAAAAATCTCATGTCGGTAGATGGAGGACTGGAAGGCTGGGCGGCCTTTGGCCAAGTTGTGAGCTGGAGCATGATGGGAAAGAGGGAGAATAAATGGTTAGAGAGTTATACAGCCTCCATGGAAGCTCCTCTCTGGACAAGAACAGGGAGCAGCAGAGACCGGGGGAAGCTTTGCAAAGCCCTTCAGGAGACCCACTTTCAGTGTTCAAAGAAGCTGCAACAGAAGAGGGAGGAATATTGCCACACTGATATTAAAATAGTTGCATTTCCAGATTTCGATTTTTCATGGCCCTCCAACTAAGAGGTGAGGCTCTGCGGTGTTTAAAGGCTTTTAAACTACCTTGGTAGAAAGTAAGCTGAACAAGCTCAGAGACGGGCCTTCTGCAACCTTGGAATGGCTATCAAAGGAGGCCAATGTTCCTGCCCTCTTCCCACCTCCCTGCATTTTGGGGGAAGCCCAGTCCTGCAAGAAGCTGGTGGTGCTGAGAGCCAGAGGCGGAGTTTCGTCCTTTCTCCTGCAGCCTGACACACCTCGCAGGGCTCTTGTGAGGATAAAACGGGGGTTGTCATTGTGCAGTGTAAGGGCAGGACAAAATCGCAGTGACAACAAAGAGGTTGCGCTCATTTACTCCCAATGAAAATTACATCTGAACGTGTTGTTGGAGATTTCAAGAGTGTGTTGGTCTTCTGCCATCCTTGAGTATCTCCCAGCACCTTCACCCTCATTTCACCTCTACTAAGGTAGAGGTCGCATTGGGCAAATCGGAAATGTAAAAGTGCACCAGTTCCCCCTCCTTCTCCCCAAGCAGTCTTGAAGGATAATGCAGAATATAGTCCTACGAGGACCATCTTGGTACTGAGCATGAAAGCACTCTGAACATGCTCAGAGACTGGTCCTCTCCAACCTTGGCATTGATGTCAAAGAATGGCAATAGTCATGGCCTTCCCTCTCCCCAGACCCATTTTTGAGGGTGCCCAGTTGTGCAATGGGTTGGTGGTTCTGACAGCTGGAGACAGCGCCATCAGGGTGTCTCTTGGAAACAGCAGCCACCTCAGTGCTTCATCCTCTCCTCTGCCTGGGGATGGAAGAGTCTCAGTCTGAACACATAAACGGAGGAATCTGCTGGATGGGGCCCTTCCCAGCCAAAGGAATGCACATGACAGATGGTTAACTCTTTATTATCAAAGAGAACACGGTTGCTGCTGCAGCTCTGGAGACCTAGGCGTGCCAGTTGAGCATCTTTGTAGGTATTTCCAGGTCTGCGCTTTAGCGAGCGATTGCAGCAACAGCAACTGCCTCCGACTCTTGCCTCCTGGTGGGAACAGTTCCTACCAAATCACTGACCCCCTCCCCTTCTCCTGAGTTAGGCAGCAGTCCCTCTTCCCCTGGCTCACGGTCAGCAACATCCTGCCAGTCCCCGGCACGAAATCCCTGTAAGCCTCTGTCGAAACAAAATAAAAAAAATCCTTCCAGTAGCACCTTAGAGACCAACTAAGTTTGTTATTGGTATGAGCTTTTGTGTGCATGCACACTTCTTCAGATACACTGAAACAGAAGTCGTCAGCAGGTTTACCACACCTATCAGGCAATCACCCATTCCCACCACCCTTCTGAGTTATACCCCTCCCCACCCTCTCACTATATATAAGGGTCTGGTGACTTCTGCTTCAGTGTATCTGAAGAAGTGTGCATGCACACGAAAGCTCATACCAAGAACAAAATTAGCTGGTCTAAAGCACGCCAGTGCAAGTAGATAAATAGGTACCACTCCAGCGGGAAGGTAAACGGCGTTTCCGTGCGCTGCTCTGGTTCGCCAGAAGCAGCTTAGTCATGCTGGCCACATGACCCGGAAGCTGTACGTCGGCTCCCTTGACCAATAAAGCGAGATGAGCGCCACAACCCCAGAGTTGGCTATGACTGGACCTAATAGTCAGGGGTCCCTTTACCTTTTTAAGTTGCTACTGGAAGGAATTTTTTTATTTTGTTTCGACTACGGCAGACCAACTCGGCTACCTACCTGTAGCTGTAAGCCTTTGGTTAACTTTTCCATGAATAAATTTGATTTCCCCACTGGATGAGATGTCACCAGTTTGGGGAGGAATAGGAATGCTTTGGTGGTGGTGGAGAGAAGTATCACTTGGGTTGGGGTCTGACCCACAGGTAAGCCCTCCCTTAGCAGCTCTTACCACTTTGCCATGCATACACGCAGTTCCAGGCATCCCCACGTGCTGCCAGGAGCGCCAGGGCCAGGGGCCACGTCCAGGTGATGAGCATCCTGCCAGCGGGGAATGGAGACAGCCGTGAGGAGGAGCCATTGCTGAAGCCATTGCTGAAGTCTCTGCCTCCCTTTTGCACAAGGAACAGGAAGAAGGTGGGCTGAGAGCTGGCTAGGAATTCTAAGAGGAGGCCTTCAGATGAATCAAAGGCACTCCTAGCCTTCCTCAAATGGCCAGGAGCATTTCAAGGCAAGTGGTGTTTGTGGTCAGTCCTCCTTGGTAGCATGGATGAAGGAGACAAATCCTCTGTTTAAGGGGGCAGATCAAGGGTGCTGGACCAAGAAAGGTTAGCTGATAGCCCTAAGAGGCCTAGGAGGGAATAAGGTTAAAGACAAGGCAGGCAGGTAAATTAGGATCGCCAGCGGACAGTCTGGCATGTCTACACTACACTTTGAAGAAGCACAAACTCAGGACGAAAGGGAGAAGCATGCTAAGAGGAAGGCACGCTTGGCAAACCCTCACTGTGCTCAGTGTCTCCACTGTGGAAGGACACGTGGATCCAGAATTGGCCTCCACAGTCACTTACGGACTCACTGTGAAGGCCATGTTTTCATGGAAGACAATCTTAATCCTCTACGAGGGATTGCTAAAGAAGAAGTATTGCTTTATTCTAGTTCCTTCTTGCTTAACTCATAATAATAATAATAATAATAATAATAATAATAATAATAAATTTGATAATTTATTATTTATTTATACCCCGCCCATCTGGCTGGGCCTCCCCAGCCACTCTGGGCAGCTTCCAAAAAAATATTAAAATACTGTAATACATCAAACATTAAAAGCTTCCCTAAACAGGGCTGCCTTCAGATGTCTTCTAAAACTCTGGTAGTTGTTTTTCTCTTTGACATCTGGTGGGAGGGCGTTCCACAGGGCAGGTGCCACCACCAAGAAGGCCCTCTGCCTGGTTCCCTGTAGCTTTGCTTCTCGCAGTGAGGGAACCGCCAGAAGGCCCTCGGAGCTGGACCTCAGTGTCCAGGTAGAATGATGGGGGTGGAGACGCTCCTTCAGATATACTGGACCGAAGCCGTTTAGGGCTTTAAAGGTCAGCACCAACACTTTGAATTGTGCTCGGAAACGTACTAGGAGCCAATGTAGGTCTTTCAAGACCGGTGTTATATGGTCTCGGCGGCCGCTCCCAGTCACCAGTCTAGCTGCCGCATTCTGGATTAGTTGTAGTTTCCTGGTCACCTTCAAAGGTAGCCCCACGTAGAGTGCATTGCAGTAGTCCAAGTGGGAGATAAGCAGAGCATGCACCACTCTGGCGAGACAGTCCGTGGGCAGGGAGGGTCTCAGCCTACGTACCAGATGGAGCTGGTAAACAGCTGCCCTGGGCACAGATTTGACCTGTGCCTCCATGGACAGCTGTGATTCCAAAATGACTCCCAGGCTGCGCACCTGGTCCTTCAGGGGCACAGTTACCCCATTCAGGACCAGGGAATCCTCCACACCTGCCCGTCTCCTGTCCCCCAAAAACAGTACTTCTGTCTTTTCAGGATTCAACCTCAATCTGTTAGCCGCCATCCATCCTCCAACCGCCTCCAGGCACTCACACAGGACCTTCACCGCCTTCACTGGTTCTAATTTAAAAGAGAGGTAGAGCTGGGTATCATCCGCATACTGATGAACACCCAGCCCAAACCCCCTGATGATCTCTCCCAGCGGCTGCATGTAGATGTTGAAAAGCATGGGGGAGAGGACAGAACCCTGAGGCACCCCACAAGTGAGAGCCCAAGGGTCTGAACACTCATCCCCCACCACCACTTTCTGGACACGGCCCAGGAGGAAGGAGCGGAACCACTGTATGACAGTGCCCCCAGCTCCCAGCCCCTCAAGACGGTCCAGAAGGATGTTATGGTCGATGGTATCAAACGCCACTGAGAGATCCAGCAGAACTAGGAAACAGCTCTCACCTTTGTCCCTAGCCCGCCGGAGATCATCAACCAGTGCGACCAAGGCAGTTTCAGTCCCGTGATGTGGCCTGAATCCTGACTGGAAGGGATCCAAATGGTCCGCTTCTTCCAGGCGTGCCTGGAGTTGTTCAGCAACCACTCGCTCAATCACCTTGCTCAATCACCACAAGAACTGTCCCTCTCCAGAGGAATAGAAATACATAACAGACTTCTAGCCTGCCTTCAAAAAATACTTTTCTTTGGACTCAAAGCCTTGAAAGTTATATTGGTTTCAAACCAGATTGAACATCCAGCATAGATATGCCCGTTCAAGCTCTGGACTTCAGACATCACATCCAATGGGTTCCCCCAACTCACTTTGGCTCTCTTTCTTGGGGTTAGCAGAAGTCTCTGTTGTCCTTCCTGGTGGGTCAGCAGCCACAGGTTCTTTCCCCCAAACTGGCTTAAGAGATCTCCTTGCTTCCACCTGGATCTTCTATTTGGCAGTCCTGGTTTTATCCTCTTCTGAAGGGGCAGCTCCTGCCTGGCTCAGAATTACCCAGCCAATCGGAGAGATGTTGATACCAGAATTGAGCCCATCAATATCAGGTTTCTGTATCCTTCTTCCAACTGGGCTTATGCGGTTGCTGACTCTCTCCCAAGAGGAAATAACATTTTGTTAAGGGTTGTATTACTTAATCCACAATAGCCAACAGCCAAGAGCAAGGAAGAAGTTGCATATTTATGGGCAGGTGAGAAGTTTATCTTGATGCCCTCAACTGCTACAAGGTGTGCATCTGAGCCCACACGCATGTCCAGCCCTCGCAGGTATTCAACAACAGCTTTGGGAGGACCAAGATCTTTTGCTGGAATTTGTATGTGTGTCCAGTATTA